ATTTAAAAGCATGTTGTTCATGAGAAAAGGAATTTAAAAATAAGAGCTATTTGCATTATTCAAACATTCACACTGAAGCATTTGGGTGACAAAACAATCACAAATAAATAGTGATAAAATACAAATACCGTATAGGCAATTTTTGTTATTTTGACAATAATAGTTTAATAGATGTTTTGAATAACCTGCAGGAGAAAATTGATCTTTTATAAAATGGTATGCTGTTCCATAATTTGAAACCAGTGTTGATATATTGAGAACTGTCCGACTGCAGTATCATGGCACCCCATATCTTCCACATTTGCACTACTTTTAAATCAACTCATGACAATAAAGTGTGTCTACCTATGTTCTGTACTCAGACATGTCAGCAGATGAAAGTTCCATACCAGGACTGGGTATTGAAAGATCAGATGATTACAGAGTGCATACAGTGCAGAAGAAAGTACCTTACGCTAAACCAATTCCTGCCCAGTTCAAAAGACAGTGGGAGCAACAGAAAGAGGCACCATTGCTTGAAAGGGAGAAGGAAGTTGAAAAAGAGCTACTTATGGCAGGACAGATGCATCCTGGTAATGCTCCGATCATACCCTCGTTTGAACAAGGTAAGGCAATGCATGACTGTTAAATCACCAACTACAAATGGGTTGTAGTCAGTTTGATTATGCAGCCGAAACTGTAAACTAAAAAATCTAACTGGATCAAAAGCAGCATATTTTTTTTTTTTTAAAGTTCAGAATTTTTTATTTAGTCAATAATGCCACTAACTATGTGATACAAAGCTGTTATGTGCTGTTCAGGACTTGAACTACATTGTTGAGAAAGCACCCATTTTCAAGGCAAAAATCATTGAAATTGCCTTGGAATCATGGGAATAGTATAGGGAATATTGAATGGCACAAAGGTAAACTCATTGGTCAATTGCCTTCAATGCAATATGAAGTTCAAGCCAGGCATGTGCGGTAAACTACAACACTAACCCCAAACATTGGGATTAAAGATGGGTTGGTTGTGGAATTACCTAGAGAGTTTATGCTTTAAAACTATTCAAGAATGTACTATTAGGGACTCATCATTGTTAATAGAACTTATAGTTTTGTTTTTTTTATTTACACAGGTAAACAGATGGCCATGCAGATGCTCCTTAATCAAGGTGGTATACCGCCACAAGGACAGATGCAAGGACCTCCACCACTCATGTCAACGCCTACTCAGCCTCCTATGCTCAGAGGGCAAAATATGGGGGGGTCCCATTACCCTGGGCAATCCTCAATGCAGCATAATATGCAACAGCAAGGCATGGGACAAATGGACGTTGATGAACCACCTCCCCCACCACCACCTTTGCAAGGGGATGACCGAATTGGTCAAGGGCACTTCCCGCAAGACCAGGACATGAGGCAAATGCAACATGATGATCCACGCCACAGACGAAACCCGCAGCAGCAGAGGTACCAACAGGATAATTACCGTGGTGAAACTGATTTTGCTTCCAGAGATGTTGATATGAGACAAGAAGCAGGATTTGATGGCATGCCACCGCCTGCACCACCTCAAGATGAGGACTTGCGTAACAGAAGGTTTGACCATCAAGAGCAATGGGGAGCACCTCCTAGAGACTTTGATGAACGTCGACATTTTGGTAATATGAGGCCTGAATTTCCGAAGGACTTTGATGAAAGGCAGGAATTTCAAGGTCATGACCCTAGAGGTTTTCGGGGAGGTAGGAATAGAGGTCGTGGAGGACGAGGACGTGGGGGATCAATGGAAGGACATGATAGATCAATGGAAGGGCATGGTCCACCAGTAGACGATAGGAGTGGGTTGTTGCCCACTCCGGATGAACTTAGTGGGAGGGGATATAACCCTCGTGGAAGAGGTGGACATGCTCCTTCAAGAGACCAGGAAGATCAAAGCAGACACGGAAGAGGAGGCGGCCATTCAACGTCATCGAGAGACCAAGATGATAGACATCCCACACCAGAATTTTTTTCGGACTATGATGAACGTTCACATGGCCCACCAAGCAACCAGTCACATGATAACAAACCTCCGTCGTTACTTGATTTACCTACCTTGCCACCTCCTCCACAAAACCCAAAGCGCTCATGGGGAGAAGTGTCCGGTGATGAAAACGCCGGTGGTACCGATCCTCGGTCAAGAAATCGAGAAGCAGGGTCACCTAGAGGTAAACTTGGGAGATTTAACGATGATGATGATCAGTTTACTAACCCAGGGGCCAGATCCTTTGTGCCAGGCAGCAGAGAGAATAACGACAGAGGGGAGCTACGGCAGAGAGGGAGAAGTGATCGTGGAAGAGGTGGAAGTGATCGAGGGAGAGGAAGTGATCGAGGAGGCAGAGGAAGGGGTAGAGGTAGAGGTGGAAGAGGACAGAGAGGTGGAGGACCACCCAGTAGAGGTCCTGGTAGAGGAGGTAGAGGGGGAAGAGGTGGGAGATAAACTTTAGTCTTTAATTTGTAGCACAGATTTAAACGGTTCTGTAAAACCTGGAGGGTTCTTACTTTTGAAAAGGTGTACTATACATATATTTTGTAATGAAGTTTAATAATCCCGCAGTCTTTATTTAGAAAATATTTGTCAAGTATATTCTTTAGATTCGAGAGAAAAAGACAGTATAGGCAATGTTCGCAGGTGAGACCAGTTTTCAAAAAAAAACCTTTGTAGCTTGTTATATACTGTAAAATTTGTTTTTAATTTTGCATGAGAGTTTTCTTTCAGGAATTTTGAGTCATGGAAAATCTATATGATTTATATGAAAATTTCACTGGATTTCTTCAGATTATAATCTATTCAAACCTTCATAACCGGTTTCTGAAGATTTCTTTCAGCAACAATTCAATGGTTTACAGTATAACACAGTTCCCAAAAGTTTTGAATTAGGAATTTTTTCCGAAATGTGGTTGAACTTCATAAACAGTTTAACATGGCAAAAAATAAGTTATATTAGAGTTGTTGAAGGTCAAGAACTCTCCCAGAAAGCACCAGAATGTATGAAAATAGCATTTGAATAACATCACGAGAAATCACGTAATTATCCATAAAGATGTTAGATGTGTAACTTGAATATTTGAGAGACAGGTCAAAAATGTTTTTGCAGAGCCTATATTTATAGTGTCGCGTGGACACAATCATTTCCACACATGGTTAATTATTCATGATGTATTTTAGTTCTGCTACGAATAGTATCCCTGGCTGGCTGAACTGTTTTGACAGATTTGCAGCCGGGACCAATAAACAAAGTGATTGATAATTAGTCTGTTTGAGGGCGCTATCACACTATCTTCAAATGTACACCATGATTAATTATTCATACTGGTAATGATATTAGATTCATAATTTGAATATTTAAGGGCAGGTCATAAATGTTCTTGCAAGCCCTGTGGTGTCCTGTGGATGCAATTGTTTTATCCAGTATTCGTAAAGATGTTGCATTTGTACATCTTTTGATTTAATATTAACACGATGAATTTTCATATCATCTTTCTCATCTGCTAAACGCATGTGAAGCCTTCATTTGGAGACTTATCACCAAAGTAAAATTCTCATCGTATACAACTTGATTTTCTCCCCATGATGATAAAAAACATTGTTTGTTTTTTCTGTTATTAGTTTTCAATCATCGGTGACATAGCATTTTTTTTTTTTATTTATAAAGCTGCGTCTCATGCAGAGCTTAAACCTGTCAGAGTTGAGAAGGAACCTTCTTGACAAAATTTGATAAAATTACTTTCATGTAGGAATACCACACGAATATCCATATTTTTCAAGGGGCACTAAACCCAACTGATGAGCATCTCAGCAATTGCTGTAAAATACTTTGTTTTAGCTGGAATTAATTTACACTGAAAGGTACTTTTTGAGTGTTTCGTATGAAATTATTTTCACTGATTTTTGATGAATTGAATGTAAAATATAGGAAAAAAGGTATATATTTGCTAGATTTTATTTTTACTGAATCATCCCTTCAGGTAAATGAATTCCAAGGAAAATAAAGTTTTTTACAGTACATTTGATGTAGTGGGTTCTAGTAGAAATCAAATTGTACGCTAATATTTGCATTTACCCAATGGTTGTTTAGTGATGGATGGCAGCACATACTGTAGAATACTTTATTTTCGCTTGGAATTTATTTTCGCTATTTTTGCTGAAGGGATGATTTCGTGAAAATAAAATCCAGCGAATATACTTTTTTTCCTATATTTCACATTAAACCCATCAAAAATCAGTGAAAATAAATTCCATACAAAACGCCCAAAAAGCATTTTCAGCGAAAATTAATTCCAACGAAAATAAAGTATTCCACAGTATTGCCCTACCAATATCATTATATATTAAGGACTAGCACATACTCTTCATGGAACATGACATTTGTATTCACAATGCATCTATTTTGTTAAAGGTTGAAGGTCATCATGCCACTTAAGTGTGTGTGATTTGTGTTAATAAACTGATTTTCCTATAACCATACCTGTACCAGTGGCAAGCATGAACACTAGTTGTGCTCTGGCCACACATGAGAGGCGCCTTCATGGCTCTGCATTAACTGGTATTGCGGTTGTGTTGCGTTAATGTCTCACCAATTATTCACATTCAGGTTACACATCTTACTCTCATCACGCATATCTTCATTTTAACTGTCACTCTAGTGATCTAAACTTACTTAGCCTAATTTCTAAGACCTCAATGTCTGCTAGTTCATTTTGCGTCAATACCAGATGTTCTGTAAATTACTTCTTTCAAAGAATGATACATTTCATGAAAATAAATAGCCAATGTAAGTGTGATGCCGATAAATAGATAATGTGAGAATGCGATAACTGTAATAATATGATAGATTGAAAAAAACAGTATTGTATGACTAAATCATTGGGTAAACTAAATATAGGGAGTAATCATTAGTGGAGTATACTATTATAATATTAAAAATACTCCAATTAACCAAAGTGATGTATATAATATTTTCTAAATGTCTGTACATAGCTCAATGCAGTGTTTCATTGTCTGTTTATTGATCAAAGTCTTTTTTTTTATTAGATGTTTACCTTTCGAACACCAACTCTTGTCGCATATCACAAAATAGACCTGCATAGTTTTACTTCACATTCATTTTGATCCAAGCTTGTAGCTAATTGGACATTATGTTCAATTAGACCAACAATAACAAAAAAATTACAGAAAAGTATGTACAAATTTGTAAAATGTTGAACCAAAATTTTGTGGGAGAAAAAATGATGTTCGAAAGGTGAACGTAAGATCATTGCAGGACTGTGTGCATATGGAGGAAGTGCTTCTCTGGGATGCTGCTGTTGCTTAGTAATTCAAAGTGTACTGTGAATCATTGCAATTTATACGTTAAATTTGTTTGTGATTTGAGCCCTTTCACAGAGACTAAAATGAAAAAGCTACTCGTTCAAAACTGCATATATGCACATTTTAATGTTTGGTTACTGTTCCTCAGCACTCCGGCTGGTCTGATTTACCTACTTCACATGCAATATAACAATCAATGCTTTTAATCATAACTAGGACTTTACTGTCACAAACATTCTCTAACTATGACCATGCTTGACACATAATTTTGACAGCTGTGTGAATTAACTAGCTTGCCTGTAAATGTGCAACAAGTTTTTAGCAGATCTCTGAAAATTGATGGCTTACCAAAATATGTCAATTATCCTCCCCTACACATGTGCAGGGGATAATGTCGCTTAAAGTATTCGATAACGGGATAATTATTCCAAATATATAAATTAATTAAAGTATTACCTAAATCTTAAGTTTGATCATTTTCACTGTAAAATTGAGTAACTCAGGAAATTCATGACGTTTGTCTCACAGAATGAAAATAGTTTGCAGTATTTTATGCCTCATATATTTTGTTATGATACATACAGCTATAAAATTAAACCTGGTAATTTCTTGGAGGTTTTCCTTAATTTTTCTTGTGGTCATTCCTTATTCCCCTTTCTGTCTGTTACAATGTAGTTTTCTACATAAATCAAGTAAACTGTTATCACTGCCTTTCTTTGTGTTTGTGTCAGCTTTATTGAGGAATGATAAGATTGTATATCTTTCCAGAGTTAGTATATGCATGTGGTTTTGTACATTCAGCCAAAATTTGCACATTTTACAATATTTGTGTGATTTGTGTGGGTAGGAAAACCAGAAAAAAAACTATAAAGAGAAAACATTGTCGTAAAAACATTCTTAATCTGCATTAGACTTTTGGCATGATTTTATGCTGATTTGTGTCTGGATTTAAATAAAATCTCAGTTTAGATTCAAGAAAGGCTAGAATTAGGTTGGTACTGTAAAATCTGTATTAGAAACCGTGACTTTTATTAAAATGGTACAATGCAATAGAGGGGATGCAGCTTCTACATACGAGAAACTGAATTCTTTTGGTTCTCAATTTTTCGAAAAAAATGGGTACAACTTCTATTAGAATTGGGCTTCTAAAACTGTTTTTCAATGGTCACAAATTTGTAGAGATTTTCGAATGTTGGCCACTAGAGGGTGCTGTTGCATTAATAAAGTCTTTGGATGCCATTTTTTTGTTAAATTCTTTGATTTTGGACCAAATGGACATCATTTTCTATTGAAGTATAAAAAAAAGTTGTGTTGGTTTATTTAGTGAAAAATCTTGAAAGTTGACTGGCTTTAACATACAGTATGTGCAGAAATTATTGAACATTTTTGAGAACAATTTTAATGCTCGCGATTGCTTACAGAAATAAAGCAATTGCATCCATCTCTAAAATAATTGGTTTTCTGTTAGTTTGCATAGAGTGGCAACTACCAATACAAAAAGTAACCTATGAGAAGAAGACATGTCAAGGGGAAGGCAACTTACAGGACTGATTTTGTCAGGATCTAATCAAAATGAAAGCCAAATCAGTTTGTTGACTGCTGGAGAGAGAGGTTCAAGAACAAAAAATGTGGCTGTTGTGGCGTGATATCCTTTGTTTTTACATTTATTGAACTGCCTTATAAAGTGAAATCCTAAGTCAAAGTACTGGTAGCTTTTTGGGGAGAGAGGTCTTCAGGAAAAAAAATCCAAAACTATGGCGTGATATCCTTTGTTTTCACATTTATTAAATTTGTTTATAAAATGTGAATTTCTTAACTTAATAATATAATATTTGTAAGTGTATGAATCTGTTGAGTCCATGATGCACTAGCGAATGAACACGATTAGTTGCATCATAAAAACCTTAGTAATGTGTCATTGGTTTAAAGGGGGCATTATTCCCAATTGCAAACAGGCACAAAGCTTGCTTGTGTCGACAGAGTGTACAGTATCTTTGATATAGAATCTTGGAAGTAATTCAGGAATTAAAAACAATTTTATTACCTGTTTTTAAAAAAAAAGGCAAATATATACAGAATTTTAAGATGAACACAAGACTGATTACATTCTGACAGCTGAGGACATATTGGTAATTAAAAACCATAAAAAACATCCTCAAGGGTAATATATATTTACAAAAATATTTATAAACTTCTTCCCATTCCATTCTGAATATTCTATACAATCAAAATTACACGGAATATTCCACCTAGGAATGGATTTGAGGGGGGGGGGGGTTAAAGGTTTCAAGGAT